TGTAAGTAGAGGTACCACTGTATAGCATAATCAATATGTAACTCTTCATGTGGAGATGGGCACTACACAATGAAGCAGGATCTTGACTTTGGTGTGGTAGAAGCTGCATCTCTTCTACCTCAACTTGAACTAGTTTAGTTTTCCTTTTGGGTGGAAAAAAACCCTAAGATATATGTGGAATAAGGACTCATGAGTTCAGGGGATAGGTTGATACTTTATGAAAAGAAGTTTGAGGCCATTTGTTGTTGTTGTTGACATTGGCAGGATAATCTACCGATAACCCAAATGTTTCAACATAGTGAAACTGTTGGACAGTCAGACGACATGTTTTTATTAAACAAAAGTATAAAAGATGGGTGTTCTTCATAAATATACAATATGTAACAGTACTTACAGAATTAATTTTTTTCATGACTCATGAGAATATATGAATAAGATTAAGCATGGGATGGTGTTACAAATTTTATGTTGTTGTCCTTGCAAGCCTTCAAGCCATTTCCAACCTCTGATTATCCTAAAGAAACCCTGTTAGGGGTTTTCTTGGCAAGATTTGTTGGTGCGTGTGTGTGTGTGTGTCTTCCTGAGAGAGTGCAACTTGGCCAAGGACACCCAGTGGGTTTCAATGGCTGAGTGGGGATTTGAACCCTGGTCTGCCAGAGTCCTAGTCCAACACTCAAATCACTATACCATGCTAGCTCTACAGATTTTATACTGCAATCCAAAAATGATTCTTGTGTCTTTAAAGACCAATTAGCTGTACATCTGCACATGAGTGATTTGAGCAGCCAGATTAAAATTTTGTTAGCAGAAGTAAACAGGCTTGACTACATGCAGCTGTTTGCAGGCTGAGTATGTAAAAGGATGCAGAATACATTGGATGGATACATCATGCTTTTTTTTAAAAAAAAACACCTAGAATGAAATTCTGAGGGACAAGGCAAGTGGTTTTCAGCAATAAAAAATCCATAACAATAAAAGTAACTCATAAATACAAACAACTGACTACATAAAACAACAGCAAGTAATAAAATAGCAGTGAACAACCAAGAAAAATAGTTCCTATCAGAATAAAGGGGAAAAAAATAAAAATAGTTTCTTGGCTCAAGGATGCAGGAAACAAGCAACTTATAAATAAATAAAGAAAAAGATAAAAGAGGAAACAGATATACATAACATGCATATTCTAATTTTTATGTATAAATGGAGGTTTAGAAGCAATTATTGTAATTTAAACAGAAATATAGTTCACCATAGTGGATAAGACTGTCACCAGATAACCTATTTGTCATATTGTTTAATACTTTCTTAAGGGGGGGAGGGATTATAATGTTTTAATGTTATATTTTGCTCTTGTTATATTTTACTGTTGTCAACCGCCCGGATTGGTTCGCCACAGGGTGGTATACAAATTATTATTATTATTATTATTATTATTATTATTATTATTATTATTATTATTATTATTATTTGCTTGATCAGTTGGCCATCCAAATGTAACTGATGAGTAATTTCAGGAACTTATTATGTTTTCTTATCTTTTTATCAGAGTAGAGGGCTAAGCAGACAAGCCATGATAGCACAGGCTGAACCCATGCTATTCTGGCCCTAGTGCTCATCTGGGTTGGTCCCCAGTCTCCAGGACCTGCTACCAGTGTGTACTCCTTACCTTGCCATGTCACCATATCTGATGTGGAAATGGAGCACCTGGCTAACACCTATATGGCCAGACATCCCATTTCTGCATCAAATGTGGCAATGAGGTGTGTGTATGTCTCAGTACCAGCGATGGTGCAACAAGGTAAGGAGCATGGGGAACCATGTCAATAGCCAGGGTTTGCCACAGAGTTTCCAGAAAACCAGGTGTCAAATTGACCCGGGGAAATGGCTGTTTACCCTGGGATCAGGCTGGATCCACTGAATTCTGTCCCTGGGGTTTTGGCCTGCATCATCTAAACCAAGGATGCAAGGCCAGGGGGAACACAGGTCTTTTGGTCACAGCCCCAGGATTCAAACCAGTGAGGGCTAGGGGTACCAATGTGAGTGGGCTGGTGAAACTGCTCTAAGTGTCATTATTAATGTTTAAGGCACTATCCAAGGTAGTGAACCTGTCAGATAGCTGCCTTGAGGTGTGGATTAAACTTGAAGAGTGGATTCAGTGGATGAAATAGGATCGGTCTCTCTCCTAGACACCTAGAGCCATGCTTATAAGACATTGTACTCCAAAAACATTTGCTCTACCTTGCAGCTTTTGCTGGTCAGCTCTTCCCAGAGGCTCTAGAAGCTCAGTTTTGAATTTAAAGTGGACATTGTTTGGTCTCTGGTGCTCATGTGTACAAATACAAGTACATAAATATCCACAGCACAGTCTTAGGCCCAATAGTTTTCAAGGGAGCTTGTTCCTAGCAAATGTTGCATAATAGAGTCTACGCTTGGAGTCTAGTAGCTTAAAGATAAATCAGCTAATAAGAAAGAGAAAGAAAGACGAAAGAACAAAAAAGCCCAGCCTTCAAGCACTTGACCACTTGACCTGAAAAGAGGTCCTTGGCCCCACCACACTTGTCAACCTCAAGGTTACTCAAAAGTAAGGGCCTAAGCAGACTGCCAGAAATAGTGCACATTAAATT